TAACGCTCGAAAAATAAACAAAAATAAGCTTTATTTATTTGGCTAATAAAGATAATAATCCTTTATTTCACGCATATAGATAATAAATATAACAAATTTACGTTATTGAAAAATAACATCCAAACAATACCACTGCGCAACACATATCTCGGATAATTTTTAAAATAATTGAAAATATTGAGAAGTGATGTATATGCAAAGTAAAGAATATTATATTTAAAAAACTACTTTTTCGAGTCGTAGTAAGGTGGCGTAACCCCTCAAATATTTAGGCTTAAGAGTCAAAAATAAAAAAGAAACTAATTTATTATTACTACTATTTTATAATTTCATAGTATATATCTTTTTAGTACATTAATTTTGACGTATCACGCCCCCTTAATAGGGAACTGGGCAGTGTTGAAATTAAAAGCTTAGTCGTATTATTAATTTTGTTATTTGTCCTAAATAATTGCTATCGCATATTATGCAATAATTTGTTTAATATTTTCAATTATTTTGGAGAATACACTTTATTAAATTTGACGCGGTCCTTATTTATATGTAAAATTAAGAAAATCACGGGATCTTATCACGTTTTATTTATTCTCATTGAGTGATATTTAGGCAGTGTTTCAACAGCCATGATCACGGGTAAACTGAAGAGCAACGGGTAGATGTTAAATAAAATGTTTTATGGGCAGACATATTCTAATATATAAATATAATAAAAATAAATAAAACAAGGTAAAATCCCGTTGTTTACCATAATTTTACGTATAAATATGTGGAGAAAATTGTATATTCGATAATAAACAAATTAGTATGGTGGGGAAGGGAATTGTTTGTAATGTGTACTAATGACTCCATTGCTAGCAATGTACCATATCAGGTTGACCTCCATGCGGTTTCTCATGGAAACCATAAAGACAAATTTCTGGTGAATTTGTTATGATGGGCTAACTGACCTAACCTCATGTTCATCTTATTATCATCAACTGGTGCCCCGCCAGCGTAAACCGTTAACACAATCGTGGCCACCATTAACATCCGTTAAAAAAAACTAACTAGTATAAGATAGTTCAAATCACTATCTATAGTTGAGACGTTGGGAAAATATAAATACATTATTAATATAGTTTTAAACAGGTTTTAATATGAATAATTTTATGGTTCTAATCATATAAATAATCTTGTAACGATCCGATTTGGAATTATGGTACGTGAATAAATATTATCGAGATTCACTGATATACTTGGCAAACAAATAAAAGTATAAAATATTAATAATATGTAAAAAAAAGGTGTGCATATTCTACCGCATATATCACGAGGAGTGTTCTGAGGAATTGTTCGGATTAATACCAGCTGCAGTGTTTCACCATCGTACCACCCGCCAGAAACTAAAATACCATCCTGATCATCTAGATGAATATCTGTCTTCCACCATGCATTTTTCTAGAAACTTTTTGCGAAGCACAACTACATTGTGGAATCAACATCCCGCAATGGTATTTCCCAACCGATACGATATTGAAACCTTCAATAAAAGAGCTTATTCCTTCTTAAAAGGTCGGTAACGCACTTGCAATTTGACTCTTGTTGCAGATGCTCATAGCCGGCGGTAATTAGTTACCATCAGGTGAGCCGCAAGCTCGTTTGTGAAAGGTGACCTCTCTCGACGTTTCGACTATGTCGCACTCGTAGCCATAAAATTATTTATGTAAAAACCCGTTTAACTATATTAATGATGTGTACTAAAAGCGAAAGTTTAAAAATAAGTGTAAACTTTAGTTTCAATATTTTTTTACCAACTGATAAAGAAGAGATAATGTTTTTCAGATATGTAATTTACGTATAAGTTCATATATCAAGTATTGTATCTTTGGAAAGTGATATAACGTTATATTTCATAATAATGATTTCGAAAGTGCTCTATTAAACTGAACTTTTTAATACATGTAACAAAATGCCATTTATAGTAAAAAGTTATTGTTAAGAAATCGCGAACAGAAGCGGGTTATGCTTACAAATAAACTATAATAATTATGTAACGATGTTACTAACAATTCTTAATTTAACCTATTAAAATTGGTGGGTTTACTACTTTCTATAAATATGAATATGAATAATGATGGCCCTGGATATATTAGTTATCACACAGCGCCATCTAGTCCCAAGCAAAGCAGAGCTTATGTTGTCAAGACAACTGATATAAATACTTAGATACATTTTTTTGTAAATACATACATAATGATAGTAAGAAATTAACTAATGCCCAGAGAAAAATACAAACAAACACATATTGGACACATAAATAAATACATACATAATGAAACATGAAAACACCTAGACCGATACAATCATACTTATGAATACAAATGTTGGCACCGTGCGGGGAATCGAACTTGTGATCATCGGAAATAAAGCGGCATGCTAAACCATTACACCACCGAGGGCGATGAATAATTTCAGAGTTACAGATGCGAGCTATGTTATACGGATCGCTATTGCAACTATTAAAATATTGTACATACTAGCAAAATTGTACTGTAATTTTGTGTAATTGATATTGTTGTATGTATGATTATTGTGTATATGTATGTATGTATTTCATTTTTATTTATCCTTTATTGCACTATCAAAAATAATATATAATTGGCGCACTAAATGCCATATGGCATTCTCTATCAGCTAACTATTAGGTAAGACCAGAAAGCGGTTGAAGGACACTAGACACATACATGTATGTGCATATGCATGTACGTACATTCCAAACATTTAGCAATTGCTTATATCTATGTACATCATCATCATCGCAACCCAGAAGACGTCCACTGCTGAGCAAAGGCCTCCCCCAAAGATCTCCACGACGATCGGTCCTGCGCTGCTCGCATCCATTGCCTTACAGCGATCCTGAGCAGATTGTCGGTCCACGTCGGTAACTATGTACGGTTGACAATAAATATTTTATCTTTCTTTCAAAATTCTAGATTTATAACCGTCACAATCGACATTTGTTAATAACATCGTTACATAATTAAAATATGTGCAAAATGAATTAGTACTTTCTCTGTATATTATTGCTCACAATATTTTAATGGAATGAGTTATTTCAATGGCAGTGCGATAATTAAAACACCTAATTATACAATTTGTAAGATCACTAATGACAATCGAATCGAGAACAGATCGATATCGCATCGAATAGAAGACAATAAATCGATTAGTAAATATACAATGTCAGAATATAGATAGATAGAATATACTCTATTTGTAACATACAATAAAGAAATTACAAAAACAATGTATTAAAGAACACATGTAAAAGGCGGCCTTATTGCTGAAAGCAATCTTTAATGAAAAACATAAAAAAAATTGTATTGAATAAAAAAATTAAGGTGCTTATTATTTTGGGGTATAAAAAACAGTTTACGTCCTATTCTCAGACCTATTGAATGCAATTTCATAAGCACTAGTCAAGCCATTTTGTAGTTTTCTTAGAAACACTGACACAAGTATTTTATATACATATTTGATGTATACAAAACTATAAAAAAGTTAGTTTAATTTTGATACATTACTGTATTTTATTTCCTTTTTCTGTAACATTTAAGTATAATTTGACCAAATTCATAAATTGTATTCAATTTGTTTTCTATTCGATTGCATTCAAAAGTGAACCTTATGCATACTATTTTTTTAGTCCGGTCGGAGAGCACGATGAATTCCGAATTACTTGTCTCTGTCGTTTGCACACATACATAGCTGTCCCGCTCACACTTGATATTGAGATTGCAAAGGTTGCAAACATTTCACCCGAAATAAAATTATTGTGTACGTATTTTAATTACAAGTTAAAAGCTTTAACTTGTAATGATATTAGCTACTCATTACATCCTTTGTAACATGTAATAATTACATTTTCTTTATGCTGTCGTTACTGGCTAGTAATATATATTTACAAAAAGACTTAACCATCAAAGCGTATTATTACTTTCAACTAAATTAATCAAAACGGGAACTAAAACAGGTTTAAACTCAAAAGTACTACAGAAACATGTGTATTTTTTTATTATAATATTCCTTTTTCCTAGACAATTATTAAAACATTGAGATTTTTGTTTTAATATATTTGAACTTTTCCCGTTATTCGATATTTAATTGATATTTAATCAGTGTTAGATGTTATACAAAAACGGTTATCGCCATTGGCTATAAACCATTCACTGTACGAAATTAATGGTCCTCTGCGACCGGACAATGGGCAAAATTTTTTAATTAATTACTTTATTTTTTTAATAAACCAGTCTTGTATGCATTGAGCGGGGACAAATATTGGGGACAAGCTATATGCTGACCGTGGGGACAAGCTATATGCTGATTGTTCATTTTGAGTTCTTGATGACGTAACAACTCTTGAATTACGTCACGCGATGGAGGAGTGTTAGTAATGGAAACTAGTTGGTGTTACCCATTGCTAATTTTGTAGCAATTGGACTATTCACATCAGGACGACCTCCACCCGGTCGCTCCACTAATATATCCCTCTATATTTATGCCAATTGCAACTGTCTCTTCCGTAATATCTTATTTTTATATCCGTGTATTATTTGGTGTCTCATTTTAAATATATTTTATGGAAAAGAATGGGTGATAAGAAATAAATTGAGTAATATTTAAATAATCCAAAATAACTATCGACAAAGTCGACTGCTAATATACTAATATATATTTTACATACAAAATCAACTTTGTCTTAGCTTAGACAATATGATCATGGAAACTCTGTCTACACCATAAAGATTGGCGCAATATTATTTGTAACTAAAAAAGAAGTGAGCGCAAATTGAACCCACACTGTGATATTGTTACTATTACTCCATAGCTACCGGATCACGAGACGCCCGAAATTGACAATACGTACAATTCTTATCACCCTTCTATTTCTACCAAATTCATATATATTTACATTATATGGAATTGTAATCGATTATTAAAATATTGCTTTTGTTAATTAATTACATACGCAATTATATTAAATGTCATTTGTAAGCGTAAAGTGTGGTCACACTATCACTACGGTTAAAAAAATCTCCGATATACGCAACGCGTGGTCACCGCGACCGCGCACGTGTTGCTTCGCGCGGATGCACGCTTGGCAATGTCCGCCATTTCCGGCGAGATACGGTCACCTTAGTAGGAGGCTTCATGTCCCGCTAATATATAGAGATCGTTGCCATCCTCGCCGGACAGTGTGTTGTTTTGTAAAATATGAGATTCCAACACAACCACTCTGAAAAATACAACAAAGAACAATTAAAATTCTCAGACATTCTCACATTCATCATCACCACTATCACCGTCATGACCTCCACCATCATCATCATCCTCATCATCATTGCCCTTCCTTTATCCCATTATTTATGATTGGCGTAGTATATTGGCCGTACTCTATTTTTATACATATAATCCTTCATACAGTCCATCTTATTTCACCCCGTTGTATGAGTACTGTATGGAGTGTGATGTACTTACTTGTCACTGCCGAGGAGCCTGTAGGCGCGCGAGCGGTCCACAATCTCCTGCGAGACGGCGGCACTGCGCAGGGATCGACCCTGCACCCCGTGACGGTGGAATGCCAGCACTGAGTCCGCCAGGCACACTGAATAATAAATAAATACCCAGGACAGTTAATACAGCGCCATCTAGTCCCACGGTAAGCAGGGCTTGTGTTATAACTATCTAGACTGCTGTTAGATTTTTTTGTAAATACATACATAATATACATAGGAAATACCCAGATCGATACACAAAATCATACTCATGAATACAAATGTTTGTACTGTGCGGGAAATCAAACCTGCGACCATTGGAAGTAAAACGGTGTGCTAAACCGCTAGACCACCGAGGCCGTCAAATCATACTGAACCAACAAACAAACATTATTATTATATTATTAATAATAATGAAACGCAATTATATTTATTGCTTTGAAATCGATTAAATTTAATATTGACGTTTGTAGTAAATAATTTTAAGATATACTAACGTATGCTGTCTATGTTGAAGTCGAACTGTATCCTGGAGAGCAGCTTATTCCGCCGCTTGTCGTCTTCCTGCCGCCAGCGAGCCTGCAGCGACGGCGGCAGCGCGGGAATTATATCCACCAGGTTCTCATGGCACACCAGCACCTGGTGACAACATATCATCATCATCACCAACATCATTATAATATATCATCATCATCACATATCATCCAACTAGCGACCATCGGAAGTAAGGCAGTGTGCTAAACTGCTATACCACCGAGGTCGTCAAATTATATTGAGTTTCAGTGTAAATAATATAATATAGATTAATTTCAGGCCTTTTTTTCTGTTTACCCATTTTTTTAGTGTCTAATACGTTGAACATGTACACTACTTGAACACTGTTTTTTTTTTTTTTAATTGGTTTGTAAGGAACATGTCTTTTTCGCATTAAAAGTAGCCTGTCTTTTCTCAGTTTACACTATCTGTGCACCAAATTTCATTTAAATCAGGTGAGTAGCTTTACCGCGACATACAGACAGAGCTACTTTCGCATAAATTACGTTCCACGATTTTAAAGTGTATAAATATGGGGTATATTTATACACTTTAAAACTATACTACAGTATCCTTTTTACTATGACATATGACTACGAGTCCCTTAGCGAAAGTGTACTATTTTACAAACGTAATTTTAAATAACAAGATTAAAAAAGTCAGACACCAAAAGCCCTGTAAAATATTCTCGGGTCAGACGTGTTGAAGAAGTGATGAAGAATTCTTCTTACAATTTTAAATAATTTTATATAAGACTAAAAAATCTGACACCATCGAGGCCTATAAAATCTTCTCTGCTCAGATGTGTGGAAGAAGTGAAGTAGAAGGAAGTGCAACTGACCGCATCCTTGTTGAGTTGGTGTACCGCCCTCAGGGTATGCAGCCGTTCGCTGCCAATGCTGCCGGCAGTTCCACTGCTTACAGCACCAGCTGGTAGTTCCAGCTCATCCGAGTGGAACCACGTCGCCCCTGTAACAATACAAGGCACAAAATGCTGGATATTCATAGGATGGTAATAGATATGTAAAGTTAATTGTGTTTTCCTTATAATTAGTGTATATCTTATATATAAAATTTTCGTGTCACAATGTTAGTTACCATACTCCTCAGAAACGACTTGACCGATTTTTATGAAATTTTATATATTCAGTAGGTCTGAGAATCATTTTCATACCTCTAAGTGATATAAGGGTTGTCCACCCCAAAATATTATTATTTGGACAATTTTTTTTTATAATGTGGCATTGAAAACGACAACCCTAAATAGATTGAAAAATACAACCCTAAATTTTCACCCTTCTTCATCAACCCCTATTTATTTGTACGTATAGTATGAAAGCATCCACTGGTATAAAAGCGTCGTGCCACCTCGTCACGATATAAGATGATCTTTTTGCGTATCGTTTTCACGTATTTATATAATGATATAAATAAAATATACATATATTCTACGTGTGTGTCAGCCGACCTGAATTTATATTGAGCAAGTTGAGTCTGAGCGGCTTATTGCTGACGCCCACGCACAGCAGCGGGTACTCCAGCTCCGGCGTGATGATCAGCTCGAACACCAGCAGCGGCGACGGCAGCGAGCACTCGATGTTCTGACGACAATCGATTTTTATAAGCACGCGTGTATAGTGTAAGAGGACCTTTACAGCTTGAAGTATTGCTTATGTAACTGGCGTGTAACTAGTGTAAGAGAGCCTTTACAGCATGAAGTTTTGTTTATGTAGCTGATGTCTAACTATAGTGTAAGAGGGCTGTTACAATATGAAGTTTTTTATGTAGCTATTACTATAGCTACAATAAAATAGAGGCGGATTGAAGTAATATTTGTTGGCAATAAATATATTCTTTTTCTTTCTCTATAAAACAAAACACAACTGTCCACATTAACTATACTATTACCTTGAGAAGCATGAACTTTCGCAGCGGATCGTACCACTGCATCAAAAAGAGTCCAGCCGGCGTCGCGCCGCACAGGTACTTGTAACCGTTGTAGGGGTTGCGTGCAACCGCACACCGGATGCAACCTACAACCACATTCATATGATTAAAAATATAATACTACAACAATACAGACATAACATCATCATCATCATTTGCAGCCATATTTTCCGATGGTCGCTGGTTCGATTAATTTACCTCAAATGGTACATTTGTATTCATTAGTATAACTGTTTGTATTGATTTGGATATTTCAAATATATATATGTAAATGTATGTAATTACAATAAAAAGAAAAATTATGCATTTGTATCAGTTACCTATAAGACAAGTTCTGCTTAGCCTGGGACTAGATGGCGCTGTGTGAATTGTCCAGGACTATTATTATTATATTCACCCACTAAAATTAATTTATAAAACCCAAGGTTTTATAAGCTCTTTGAGTGATTAAATCAATATGTGAATTAAAAGATAGCTTATCTTCCATTATAATTCCTAAATCCCGAATAATTTTATGCGCTTTAGAGCATTATTATTATTATTATTTATATATATATATATATATATATATATATATATATATAATATAATTATTATATTATATACACTAAAATTTATAATTCCATATTCGCTTAAGCGGTAAGACCGCCTTTTGTCTATTACCAAAACCAAAACGCCACCTATATACTTTATATATTCTGATCTTTTGAATTTAAGGTACAATAAAGAGTATTTTTCCTGACGGTCTAGGTAGTGAACTCTGAAAAAGGGCGAGCACAATAGATCTATGCAGTTCGCAGTGCTACAGGTGCTACTGTTACCTGACAATAGCACAAAGAACCCAATTAAAGAGTAGTAATGAGTCAATAAATTAACCCTATAAAATACCATATAAATGTTTCATTACGAACCTCTTGTATCCGGCACCCTGGTGGTGAGAGCGAACCTCCTCGGCAACAACCGAGGGGGCAACACCCTCAGAGATTTGCCACCCCGCGCGCTTCCGATAAGCGCCAATAACTCGTGGCGGTACAACGAAGGCGTTTTACCTTTATTAAAGATAAAATACGTGTCTATAAATTATGTTACATGTAAAATGAAGTCGATAAAGTGTGACAAGAGAGCCACCATCTTGTCACACTTTATCGATTTTCTAGTCACATTTCAAAATCTAATAAATGTTAGTACTATAACATGAAATTAAATTATAAACGACGATTCTCACTAAATAATATGAAAAGGACTGCGAGAGTTTAAAAATCACAAAATTCTTAACGTATTTTTATTAAGTTTAAGCTAATTTACATATACATCTCTCTAGTGATAGAAACACCGATAACAAAACCAAATTAATCTGATTATAACACAACTATATGTTGAATAGAATAGTACAGAAAAAGTTTATTCAAATTAAAAAATGTAAGTTACATTTAAGCATTTACATTTTTTAATATTAATCTAAGAATTTTATAGTAAATAAAGATATTTCCTTAAAATTATTTGTGTTAATAATATAAATAATAAAATTCCACTACTTCTTCCACTATTTTGATGATCTCGGTGGTTTAGCGGTTTAATCCAATCCACTTTACATCCAATGGTCGCGGGTTCGATTCCTCGCACAGTACAAACATTTGTATTCATGAATATGATTGTATCGGTCTCGGTGTTATGTATATTATGTATGTATTTACAAAAAAAGTATCTATGTATTTATATCAGTAGTCTAGTGTCCATAACACAATACCAGCTTAGCTTGGGACTAGATGGCACTGTGTGAATTGTCCAAGGATTTTATTAATTCTGTTGTAACTGGCTAATCAGATATGTATTTTATATTATAAATTTGTATTTGAATTTATAGTTCTTTTATATTACATTCTTGTTTTTTGATACTTCAATTCCTTCTTTCTGTTCCTAATTGTCAGTAGTCTATATTAATACATTTTCTCCGTTTACCTAGTCTATTTTCTTATTACTACAATAAATTCCACTACTCCCGAAGTAAATGAAAAGCAACCTTAACACAATCAACAAATTTCAGCTACCTGAGAGGGACATGAGTACGTCTTTAATGACATGCATCCATATGGTCCGCCTGGGGCACAGCTGGTCCATCGCCGTCTCGTGTAATTCGTTCAGATTCAACGTGTAGATACCCTCCTCGGCTCCTGTAACATCATTATTTATTTATTTAATTCAGGCTACATGGTACATATTATAAATACTTTATAGACTAACATACATAAGAAATAACAAGAAAATATAAATTAATTAAAATAAAATTGTCTCTATGGTCACGGCACTATGTTATTACTATCTTATTGCACTTGTGGTAAATCACAGAATAAAAATAGTCGTCTTCGACATCAGTCTCACACCTATTTCAGTTGCCAAAAAGTTGTGTTTCGAATATTTTGGAAATAAAAATCATAGTTTCCAAGAATATCTTTCAATTCTTGTCCCTCATGGGTCTGTATTTGAATAAGGGCGAGGCATATAGATCTATGCAGGTCGGAGTGTTATAGGTCTTAGCATCTGAGAATAGTCCAAATACTCTTCATAAAAAGTTACATATTCACCTATTAGTATATGTTGATCCCTTGTATCTGGGTGTATCCAGGACGCAGTACAGTTTATTCTGAGCGGACATCCGTTGAACACCTGTAATGTACAATATCCGGTTTAAACTTTCTATTCAAGATGAATTGACTATTACTTATAGCTACCGCTTTCGCATAGTACGTTAAGTTTAAAAATTATATGTATTTAATAGTTAATTTTAAACTTTCGTGTTTAATATACATTATTTAAATTATTAACCGGGTCGTAACACGAATAATTTTATGGCAAATAAAGGTATTTACACGTTTCGACTAGCACTAGCCGTGGTCACGAGCTGACTGGAGTAACAGCGATGTCAATGTAGATAGGTGACAGCAGTTTTTTCTTCATCTACCGTCACTAGATTGTTTAACGAAAGTTCGTGACACACAGCACTCACGGTATCCGTACACTTATTGACTATTGATGCTACTGAACTTTGCTTGAATTTATAGTGCAACCTAGTCGAAACGTCGAGAGAGGTTTAAAAATAATTTAAATATGTATTATTTAAGTTTCATATGGTCACGGTTTCGATTCTCCGTATGGTACAAACCTTCGTATTCACGAATATGATTCGTTCTATCGGTCTATGTGTTTGCCATATATAAAAAAATGTATTCGTATCATTGGTCTAGTACACATAACACAAGCTCAGCTTGGGACTAGATAGCGGTATATGAATTATATTTATATACTTTATATTATTATTAGATGGTCGTGATTACATTCGGTATAGAAGTGTGACGATTCGAGTGGTGTCGTCATAGGGTGCGATTATCGTGATCACCTTGGAGAAGCAGGCTCCCATGTGGACCTTAGGCGTGGGCGGCAGTCCGTTGGGTGCGGGGCGCGGCGGCGTGTGGGTGCGGCGCGCGCGGGACCGGCGCGGGGGCACCGGCGGCCCGCCCGGGGCTCCCGGGGCTCCCGGGGCTCCCGGGGCACCGGCCGCGGGGGCACCGGGGGGGGCCGGGGCCGCCGCGACAGTGGACGGGCTGCCCGGGACTGCGTTCCGCACAAATGGATTCATATACTACTTATTAGATACTACTGTAGCCATTTATATAGATTACTTAATTGAACAAGTGCTTTTAGTTACAAAAAACATCACAATTATATTCTCTCTGATGTAACTGAAAAACTAAAAATACTTGTTCTATTAAAATAATCTCTGTAATTAAAAGAAGAAAATAAAATGATAGACACTTACTGTTTTTATGTAAGTAAAAGTAGATTTTATGAATTCATATTCATTAATTAAGAGAATCTACCTTTACTTAGACCTATAAATTACACTTATTTTAGTGCAATTTATATGTCTAAATAAAGGTTGACTACTTATCCACATGACAATTAACTTTTTTTGTTATTAAAATAAATACAAATTCTAAAATAAAGGTAGCCAACTAATACAACAAAATATAAGTGTATATGGAGATATACACTTATATTTTTTTGTGTTTATAAAAACAATTTCAGTAACATTGAAAATAAATCTTACCTTTGTTATCCACCTTCGCTTTATCCCGCTGACTGTCCGACAAACTCCTCTGCCGCTGACTAACTCTGCTCTCATCGATTACCAACTCCTTCCCATCCCTACCATTTTCCTCGATCATATTGAATATCTCATCAACAGAACTCGTTTTCCGCTTCCCAACGTCAAACTCGCACTGGCAAAACTGACTTAAATCGATACCGGCCGTAATCGAATCGGAGTTATGTCGATTGTGTCTTTTCCTGTGCTCGTACGTCTTATCCGCCATGTCTAAACTCATATCGATTTTCCTACACAAATCATCGTCGAATCCACCATTCTCTAGTTTCGATTCATCGGCTATCCTTAATCGATTTGCTATTTGCAACGCCCGGAAATTCGATACTGAGATCTTTTGTTTCTTGCAATTTTCACAATAAACAATACCAGAGTCTACATTTTGATTGGGACAATTCCTATAATAGTTCAAAATGTCGCCGTTTGAATTGCACGCGTCGCACGAACATTTGTTTACTGAGCGTTGGAGATCACTTAATGTGTTATCGTCCCTTATCTCTGGTTTGGGGCATAGACCACATTCGCAATTAGCGTTCCTTGTCTGTGGCGTATCAACGATGACGTCATTCGATTGATCTACGTACATGATATCTGTCTCCCCCATTTTCCTACATAGAGGATCGTCTATGGAGACTCTGGACGCGCCTATTGGACTCTGAAAGTTGGACGCTAGACTCTGGTAGATGTTCGTGGTAGAATTATTTAGGTAGTTCTGCTTTAGTTGCATACATTGTGATAAATGTTGATCGTGTACAGAGAGAGCGGAGTTGGCCTGCGCTAACGCAGCCGTATCGGCGGTTAACGGTAGTGTTGCCCTGTTTGACATATAAAAATTACTATTTTGGTAGTTTTTGGCAGAAAAAGCGTGGGGTGCGGTTAGGTGAAGCGCGGGTTGTGGTGTTAGACACAATAATAATATTGTTACAAGCATATTTTGTTTGTTAAATAACAAGTGGTGCGCTGGTGGGTTTAAAAAAACTTTTATTTAAAACGTAAAATTCATTATTTATTTTTGTTTTTTAATGTGTTTAGAATTGATGCATTTGATAAATATCTTTTATAATCATGCATCATGCTAAATAATGTGGATTTTGCAGATAAAAAATACTTTTATTTTTTTATTCCTTTTTTATATATAGTGAATTAAATATAGGGTTATAAATGCTTTATATTACAATAGGTAATATATACACAATAATGTTTGGAATGAAACAATACAAAATTATTATTTGATATATATTTAATTTGTGTTCATATATTTTACGAAGCACTATTTTCTATAACTAAATACCTATTACTCATATTATTTGGGCATAAGGTGTTGCTACAAAAGAAATATCTACAAAATTATTAAACTGAATCTTTTATATCCTATCGACTGCTATTTTTTTTTATTTATTCAACTCTAAATAAAATTCAGCTAGACTAAAAACTAAACAAGCCTAAATATTATAATATCCAATACCGTAGTTTAGTAGTAAAAACATGAATACATACACAGTAAAATAAATATAGCAATCACTTCTGTTCTAATGCACATACTACACTACACATATAAACATACAATATATTGTTCCATGCATTTTACAACCTCTGTTTACCTGAGCATTAATTCTTCGTCAATATATTGCAAGAGGCTCCTAAAACAAAGGAGACAACATACAGACAAGTGCTGGCACACTGCACGCCGTTATGAACTTTATGCGTATTATTATATGGTCTAAAATTGCAATGAAATCAAATAGCAAAATTATTATTTGTTTATAAATGATAATTTTCTAAATATATAATAAAAATCTAACTGATTGCTGTCTGTACATTCAAGATATATGAGAAACTATTTTTGAGGACTTTATCAACGTAATAGAACGCAATAGAATGATTATTAGAATTTTGTCAGTTTGTCTGTAGCATTGATCCATGTTAATCTCAAATATAACTATATTATATTTGTATTTTATTATTATATTATTTAATTAATATTATTTTATTATATGATTTAATAAAATCATACATAGGTATCGAACCTTCATTTATCTATGGTATTTATAAATGTAGGGTAAGTTAATATTGTCATTATATAATTAATACTTTACATAGTATAAAATAAAGTCGCTTCCGCTATCTGTTCGCTTAAATCTTTTAAACTACGCAACGGATTTTAATACACTTTTCAGCAATAGATAGAGTGATTCCAGAGAAGGTTTATATGTACACATGTACACCCGTCCGAAATCGGGGCGGTAGCTAATTAGAAATAAATCTTATTGCAATAATCTGTAGGGTCAATGTTGCGTAAATATATAGACAACCGCAACAATCGGGTATGTGACAATATCAATTATGAATAACATGTAATTTTAGACCACACTTTTGCCTGTACAATGAATGCCTTAATAGCTTATAGCCAATTAAATTTCTGACTTTCAAAACAATTCATATAAACATCTTACCTCATATATATTTTTTTATATTGGTAACATTTGTATTTTGGGGCACTTGATACGACACGACAACTTATTATTAATAGTATCGAAGGAAAAATAGAAGAAAAGAGAGGAAGGGGAAGACCAAGGCACAGATATATCAAGCAAGTTAAGGCATAAGATGGAATCGTGTCGTATCAACAACTAAAGAGATTGATAGAAGATCGTGGAAGGTGATGGGAGCTCCACCGACAAGAGCTTAGCTCTTAAATTATGAATGGATTGAAAAATAATACGAAGACGTATAAGCCAAACATGTATAAAAAGACATAACACATAAATACATGCATAAAAATACATAACACATGTTTAAACGTGGCAGCTATACTACAGTCTCGCCACTCAGAGTTTGCGTTTCAGACAGGTCGGGATCGAATGAGCGATGTAACTGTGAACTGACGTACAATATACGACAAAATTTTAAATATCTTTTATTTGCCTTATTAAAGAGTGAAAACACAAAAAAAAATTATAATTAATCCAACTTACAATAAACTTATTAATTTTGGGTTAAAATTATTAACCATTAACTACATAACAAATATAAATACAATGGTTTTTAAAAGTCAAACCACATCAAACTGCTCTGCTTCAAGGTTATTTTGGTCAGATCACTACCAAAACAAATAGTTGATTGGTCGATCCAGACCTGTCAGAAACGCAAACTATGAGCGGCCGGACTGTATATTTGTGCATTCATTTCACACACACAAATATTTAAAATGCCATACACACTGATATGCAGGTTAAGTCAATATAAATAATTTGTAGATTATCAACCGATTTTTATATTAAAATGAACATATAAAGAAAATATTTAATAGATTTTGGTTATAATTAGATAAAAGTCAAGTTTCCACACTGAATATTTGTGATCTCATACATGCTAATTAATACATGGTGGAATTAAACAAAATAAAATAAATACATTAAGTAGTGATATAAATAAAAAACTAATAGATAACACAATGTAAGTAGGATTAAAATATACATAATAGAATAAAAAAATAAAAAAAGGTAAATAATAAATAATAGCACTGAATAATATATGTATATTAAATCCATAATAAACCACTTTTATGATTAAAAAATAATCCTGATATAATTATAACATCCCAAGACAATTAACTCAACGCCATCTAGTCCCAAGCTAAATGAAGCTTATGTTACGGATACTAGACAACTGATATAAATACATAGATATTTTTTTGTGCATACATACTACACATAATAAATACCCAGACCGATGCAAACAATCATACTCTTGAATACAAATGTCTGCATTGTGTGCGGAATCGAACCCGCAACAATCGGATGTAAAGCGGCATGTTAAACCGCTACACCACTGAGTTCATCAAAATTATATGTACAATCAAATAAGTCGATATACATAATTATTTAAAGAGACATAAATAACCTGCATACTGCGAAACATACACATATAAATACCTCCACCAAAATAGCACACGAAAAATTTAGAAAAAAAATAAACGAAAATATACGCATTTTGTATAAAAGCTAAAATTTTTATCGTGTTCCTTTAACGGTGTTAGAACAAAACCTAAGCACCAAAAAAAATGTTAACGCAATTTTAACGAAAACAAAAACTTTTTTTCTTTAATATTAAATACCTCAGAGTCATTCTCATAATATCATCACCCGTGAGCACCCGACACCACTTGCTATAACATAATAGATATGAAATAAAACAAAACGTAAATAAAACTAAAGTTAATAAGCCGTTATATTGATATTAAAATTGTCAGTTACTCACTTTTCACTTGGCGGCATAGTATCGGTGGTTAAATCTTGGGAGAGTGGATTGTGTTTGGGGCAATTCATGAGTGAGGCTACGCTCCAGTCTTCGCTCGTTTGTCTATGGTAACCTGAGAAAATATAGACAATTATAATCCACTTGTTTATAACGTATGTCACATATGCAGTGCACAGCTGTATTCAAGGGGTGAAAGGGGATTATTAGTAATGTGGATTGATGATCTTATTGCTAGCATTGTACCATGTCAGGTTGACTTCCACGCGTTTCCCACTGGAAACCACTGTGATAAATTCCTGGTGAATTTGTCACGATGGGCTACCTGACCTGACCTCATGTTCATTTTATCATCCTCCACTGACGCCCCGCCAGCGTAAACCCTTAGCGCAGGCGGGTACACCATTCCATTATCATACAGAAAAAAAAAGCTCTGTCCAAAACTGCTGGAAAACAGAACTGAACTGAATTCGGAAATGAACGAGGCCGCAATGTCATAAATTCAATGTAGTAAGTTGGACAGTTTTAATTCGAATATTGTTAATTTCATATTGAATCTGTAAAATGCTTCAAAATCAAAATATCTTTATTCATGTATGTCTATTACCGACTCCTATGATATGTCAAATCTACCGTCAGTTCCGAATGATTTCGAGATGAGTATAACTGACAAGAAACTCAAATAGTATTCTTTTCAAATTCTTGGAGCAGTGGTTTGCCTTACCACTTCTGAGGTACATCCGTTCTAATGTCCCCTCCCCGATCAATCCCCCGTTCAATTCAAACGGGGATCAAAATTACGACGTCCTGAGTCCTGAGATTCGAAACCCTAGCGGTGCCCTCAGATTTAAATCGTATCCCTCAGGCGGGAGTTGGCCCTCAGCCGCGCCATAAGTTTTTCCTTTGGTTTGGAATGCCATCTGATATCTGACTGACGGCTTCGATGGTCTAGCGGTCCAACACACAGCCTTACGATACTCGCGGGTTCGATGCCTGGTACGGTACTAACGTATGTATTCATGAGTATGAATGTTTCAGTCTGGGTATATACATAGGAAACACTAAGACCGATACAAACAATCATACTCATAAATACGAATGTCAATACCGTGCGTGGAATTGAACCCGCGACCATCAGAAGTAAAGCGGTGTGCTAAACTGCTAGACCACCGAGGCCGTCAATACTGGTAAGGTATACCTCTGACGACCGCATTTGGGATAGAAGATAGACAAAGGTACAAAAGAACAAGATAACACAAGTATCAAGCAAGTACAAAAAATAACAAGGCCACGTACCGCTCCTGCGAAGTGTGTCACCATCACAGCGGTCGGTGACCAGGTCATCATCAGCGTCCAGGTCGATGATCGGCGAGTCATCGTACGCGCCCGACCGCCGCCGGCATACGCCACGCTCTAAAAATGTCCGACTATTCTAATCAAATCAAATCAAATCAAAATATCTTCATACATATAGACTCTTAGAGACCGTCCATATCCGAATTTTGTTTATCACCTCCCCCTTTTTTTCATAATTACGTCATATTCGTGACACTCCCCCTTACGTAACGTCTAATATTTAAAATTTTTCGTTAATAATTCAATTTTGTTTCAAAACTTAGATTGAAATGTGATATCACGAAATAAAGCTTCATCATAATATTATACTGGGCTAGTGGACCAACGATCTGGTCGAGATCGCTGGAAGGCGTTGGATGCGATCGGCGCAGGACCGATCGTCGTGGATATCTTTGGGGGAGGGCGAAATATCTCCAGTTGTTCAGTTCGGCAGTGGAATTCTTACGGGCTTTTATACCCCGGAAGACTGCTGCTTGTCCACTGCTGAACAAAGGCCTCCACCAAAATTTTCCAGACCGGATACATATGTTTGCCATTAAAATTGATAAATAAAATATATATTTAAAAAAAAAATCAAAAGTCCGAATCTTTCTCTCAACTCCGAACCAAACCATAGCTTATAAATGTGCATGGCTGTAAATAGCCGAGATAAGACATACGTAGACGTCTTTGTACAGAGTCCATCTTCGTTATACAGGGTTAGTCGGAAAGAATATACTAAGCCCGTTGATATATAAAAGTATACCTTCGGTGGGGGTGAGCGCAACCCTGGCGGTGGCGAGGCTGGGCGCGGGCAGCAGGCTGCGGGGGCGCGGGGGGGCGGGGGCCCCGGAGGCCCCGGGGGTCCCGGGGGGTCCGGGGGTCCCGCGAGGGGCCACGCGCCGTCCCCGGGCCGTATGCTTCGACGCGATGCGGTGGGGTACTGTACTCTCCGCCTGCAATTCACACTCAAATTTAACTCTTTTTGTATGGGGATTGTTAGTAATGGCATAGAGTGGACCCATTGCTTGTAGAGCAAGAGCCCACGACGGCCAGACATACGTCATATTAGTAAACGTGAAAGTTCTTGTATGTGTGTCCCCAACACAGGTAAGAACGATCCCCAAACATGAAACCTGGATCGTGGTTCCTTTGGCAGGTAACAAAGGTGTAAAAAATTTCATATCAAATTCGTTATTTTAAGAAACCTCCATATTTTCATATATTGTTCGTAGCATTATTATAACTTGCGCTGCTCATTGCCAGACACTTAGTGTGGTTCCAACCCCCCGCCGGACCCCCTTATTATGTTGTGGTTCTTTCATTCCATTCATACGCCATCTACCATTTTCGATCTTTTCTCCTCTACCCAAATGTTGTATGGAATTCATTGCAAAGTAATAAGACTGCCTTTTGTGTCTTCATATTCTATTATATATTTTATTTCAGGTAAAATTAAGAGTAATAACAAAGAGGAAAACTAATGAAATTCAAATTAAATCTATAAAAATTACATCTATAGTATGTACATAATAGACTAAAAGACATATTAAGTAAATATATCTATTATCGAGTTCTCATAGAAATGACTCTGTTCGGTATAATGTGTAAATTATTATTACTGTATTATTAAAGTCAATTAAACATTAACTTACCCCGTCATCGTCCTCCTGGCTCACACAATGGCTGGGTGGATTGGAATACTTGTGGAGTAGTTCTATTGCTAGCCGCTTACTCATGTCTTGTTGAAAGAATGCATGCTGAAAATATTTAAAACATGTTCATCATATTTGTCATTTATCTCAGTCATGTTTGTCTTTCTAGATAGATCAAATAAAATCAAAAAGTCATTCATTTATGTAGGACATTTTAGCCGTTTATGAACGTCAAATTTTTGTATTAATATTTTTCACTACCATCCAGTTCAGTATAGAGATTCAATTGAGATGATCAATAAACTCAACTGTAATAAATAACTTTTTTTAAAGCCATATTTACATTGTGTATGTATGTAGGTGTCTATGTCTAACATTAAATGAAAATCCCGTGCATGAATAACTACTGTCGTGTACGTTTATTACGTTATAGATAAAAAAAAATCTAAGTCACCTGCAATAGCTTCTCAGCGGTGGGTCTCTTCTTAGGGTTCTTCGTGAGGGACAACTTGAGGAACGAATGGAAGACCTGCGACCAGCGCTCGCGCTCCTTCAGCTGTGGCGGTTTGAATCCCGACTTCGACATCAGGAACAGCACCCTCATGGGGTGGAGCTCAAACATGGGGGGCTGAAGCTCCGCCAATTCTATTTATAAACATATTCATGTCAACATATGTATAAATACATACATAATATTTATTTATTTATTTATTGACATTAACTAAACGAGCCTAACACCTTCCCAATATGCTCACTTAGGAAAAATTATACAAAAATATGAAATAATTACAAAAAATATCATCAAAAAATATGAATTAAAACAATAATAACCTACAATTTTATGTATTATTTAGGAAATCCATTGCCATTCTGCTAAAATTCAACAAGTCACATGTAAATATGTCCAGCTCAGGAAATCGATTACCGACACCGTTGAGTAGACTCAGTGCTAGAGTAATGGAAGCCTGTATTATGTATAGAAAACATTTACACTAATACAAATAAACATATTAATGAATACAAATGTTTTCACCGTGCGAGGAATCGAACCTGCGAAGGCAGTAAAGCAGTGTCTAAACCACTAGACCGCCAAGGGCGTCATAGTATTGACTAAGTATACTAGTACTTCAAAATGTCCTAATTATCTTTGAATTTCAAAAGAAATTTACAAAAAAAAATTGTTATTTTTTTTATCAAATTAGTATTTAAATAATTATAGATATATATTTCTTAATATTTCTTTAAATATATTTTAATGACTGTATATCAATTTGGTTTGTTTCGTCTCGATGGACAATATTACTCGATCTCAATTGACTAGTAATAATAGTACCTCTTATGTATTCTCTATGGTGGGATGGCAGTATTTTTATTTTTAATTGAGGTTTGATCTATTATCAGGTGTTTAGACCACTGCACTGCGATCAAAATAGAGATGAGCATAATTGATTATGCTCGCCGTTTTTTATAACCTAGACCAGTCAGGAACAAGAATTGAGGATATTTTTAGGAGCGATGGTTTTATCTCCTCAGGATAGAGTGTATACTTTCCAAAGGAGATATTTATTTCGTTTATGCACGAATGGGCTACAACCACATAGGTTGCGCAGTGGCGTTTCTTCAGGGGATGGCAGTAAATAATGTTATATACCTATAGCTGTGATTCCACAAGCCCAGATGTCGCACAGCTGATTGTAACCGCCCTTCCTCTCCACCGCTGCCACCTGTAAGAAACAGTAATAGAAATAATCTTCATTCAAGTATATCACATTATGTCCTTTCATATATACTAGATGGTCCCGCGGATTCACCCACGTTAAATTTCAATGTACAAATTTCAATAAAAAATACAGCCTATATGCATAAGCTATATTATTGTAAATTTCATCAATCCGTTTAGTAGTTTTTGCGTGAAAGAGTAACAAACATTCGCGTTTGTAATATTATTAATATATACTAGCTGACCAGGCAATTTCCGTTCGCCTCAGAATTAAAAAATAAGTCATAGGTTTTTCAAGTTTAGTTACGCAGTAAATTCCTGAACGGACCCTGTTTTTTACACTTGCGATCTGTTTATATGGAACATTTTAGCTATTTTCCATGCAATTTCGCATGGTCAATGGTCATCACAGAGAGTTGTAGAGGCGAATGATTTGGACAGTGAAGGAGTGAGAAGAGGTCGTCAAACATAAGCTTCTAGTACTACGCAAAGCAAAACAGGGTGTGAAAGTTTAGTGTGAAATTGGAACTTTGTTTTTAGATATTCAGGGGTAAAGGTTCAGTAAAGAAGGGAAGGAGGAAGTTAAGGAGGGAAAGTTCTGCGAAGAGGAATAAGAAGCCACTTAAGTTCCCTGCGAAGATTGGAAACTGAGAAAATTATTATTATTCACCTCCGGTGCCATCCAGTAAGGCGTGCCAATGAACGACTTCCTCTTGTTGATGGTGGCTGTAATCTGCGCGGATACACCAAAATCTGCTAACTTTACGTCCCCACACTCTGTGAGAAGGATGTTGGCGCCTTTGATATCCCTGGAAATGACAAATAATAATAAATTTCATAATAAAAAACTTGATTTCAGTCTTATCTTCTTGAATATAAATAATCTTTATTCAAATAAACTCAATACAATGCACATTTGAATAATCATATGTGTTTATTCTACCACTCATTGGGAACGCAGACTCATCACAAGAAGAATGAGGAAGAATCTTGTGTGTTGCTCTTTTGAATGGATGTTGTTTTAAATAAATTCATAATTACACAATAACAAGGCATGCGATAATGAACATACAAACCGTTACACACTCCTTCTTAGTGCAATCAGATAATATTGTGAGCATTATGAATTTTAATTTATTCTACAAAAACATTATTATCGTTTACATATAAAATTTTATAATTTATATACGACATTTTAATGTTGCAGGCAAATTTAGAATAGAATCTAGTAGTTTGTTGTAAAAACCTTATGCAATTGCCATAAAACGAATTACTATTTTTATTTATGTAAAATCAGTTTGTTATTAAATATCTTATTCTTCACTACCCGCCAGTGTGTAGGTACGTTGCATCATCGGAATCAGAGTTTCATCATCATTTATAAAAAATATGAATTACCCAGATTGTTAATTATGTCACCAAGATAAGGGGGTTTATGATATTATATTGTTTTCTTTAAACTTGACGTACAAAAGAAACAAATGATTAGAATAATAACTTCATCTTTAACTATCTCCACTTAAAATTGTATTAACTATCTCCCTTCGATCGACCCCCCATCCAGTTCAAACGAGGATCTAAATTACTACGGCCTGAGCCGAGGTTCGAACCCCTAGCAATGCCCTTAGACTTCCATCGTCAGGCGTTGGCCTTAAATCCTTCCGCGGATTTGGAGTGCCATCTGCACTCGCCCCCTATCTTCCGGTGAAGCTGTAAATGCCAGTTGCGGGCAACAGCATTAGAGTAGTCCGAAAAAAATAGCGCCATCTAGTCCCAAGCTAAGCAGAGTTTGAGTTATGAAAACTAGACAACTGACAGAAATACTTCCGATGGTGGCGGGTCGATTCATTCTCTTACATACATACAAACATTTGCAACCACTAGTATCATTGTTTGTTTAGGTCTAGGTGTTTTTATGTATCTTATGTATGTACAGAAACCATAACATAAAATGCTTAGATTGACACTAGATGGCGCCATGTTAATTGCCCTGGGTTATTAAATATAAATATACAGACATACTAACCTGTGCATTTTCCCCATACTGTGCAAGTACGACAGTCCAGTGAGCGTCTCCCGGCACATGTAAGCTATTTGGATCTCCGTCAGAGGTCCTGTCACGTGGTATATGTCCTGTAATTAAAATTGTAACGTTAAAACTAATGATCCCTGAACAACAGATCAATGTGCCCAATTTCTTCCCGGTTGAAAACTTCTATAAGCTTGTGGGGACGAGCCTGCTCTAATTACTATGACTGATTTACGCTTATTTAGTTACTCAACCAGTTGGTTGTGGGTTTAATATTTGGACTCTCATGAATTTGTGCTGGTGGATATTTAAAAGAGCAACACGTAAGTTTCTTGCTCGTTCTTCTTGTGATGACCTTTCAAATTGAGCAATAGATTAAAAAAAGTAATGAGTATTCAAAAGTGCATCTATGTAAGTTTAATTGAATAAATGTTTTTTTTCCTATTGTATAATGGCTAGGTATTGTATTATGAAGTCTACTACTAGTGAACGTCAGCTGCGGTTCCGAGTTAAGGAACACAAACCTCACTTTTGTTGATAATAATAGCACTAAACCCCACTATTGTGCGTAGTATACTATGTGTAGTATGTGTAGGAAAGAGAAGGAAACATATTGTCGTCTATAGCGCACACTGCCGGCGTCATGCGGGCATTAAGCTGGGCACGGCGAGTGAGATGAGTCGTGTCTCTGATAGCCGGTAATTAGGAAGACTAATAGTACATCATCATCATCATCGCAGCCCGGAAGACGTCCAATGCTGGATATAGCCCCCCCCCCCCCAGATCTCCACGACGATCGGTCCTGCACTGCTCGCATCCAATGCTTTCCAGCAATCTTGACCAGATCGTCGGTCCACCTTGCCAGAGGCCTATGACTAACAGTACACTACGAATAAAATTATTATTATTAAAACACTAACCTGCAAGCTACCACCTCCACAGTACTCCATCGAGATCCATAGCTTATCCCTTCTAAGGTAGGAGCCGTAGTATGCCACTATGTTTGGGTGCCGGCAGTCCTTCATCATGAGGATCTCCTGCTGGATGATGGCGAAGTCATCACCCGGCTCCAACTTTATCACCTTGATGGCAGCAAGCTCACCACTGCCGTCCAGTCTTTTTGCCTGAAATTGGAGAACGAGAAAATTAATCACTTTAAAATATATTTTAATTGTTTTTACATTTGTTTTAACGATGTCGCTGGTTTAGCAATATAGCACACCGCCATACTTTCAGTGGTCTCGGATTAGATTCCTCGCACAGTACAAACATTTGTATTCATAAGTAAGTTTTTTGTATTTATCTGGATATTTTTTTATTTATTAAATATTTATTTGTGTAATTAAGTACTTATATCAGTTGTCTAGTAGCCACAATACAAGTTCTACTTTACTTGGGACTAGATAGCGGTGTGTGAATTCTCCAAGTTTAATTATTAACACATTATTTAGGTAGAAATAATTATTGACATAAAATATCATATACCATAATTATAATTCATTAGCTGTGTCCGCTTTTTCACAGCAAGAAATAGCCTGTGTTATTCTGATGTATAAGCTATATCACTAAAAATTCATCAAAACCCGTTCAGTAGTATTTGTGTGACAGATTAACAAACATCCATCGATCCATACTCACAAACTTTCGCGTTTATAATATTAATACATAATATTTATAACGTTAGCATAATAATAATGCATGATGGCATCAACGTTGAAGAATTAAATAGGAATACATAGTTTACTGCTACACCGGTTTTGTTTATAAATAACATCCTTATTATTCATAGAAAATATATAAGGAAATGTGGTCTCTCATGCGATTATGCTACCATCTGGCAAACACGTGGTCATCGAGATAAATTAAATGAGGACTAAAAGTGATGAGGTTCTTGCCAGACTCTAGTCAATTTATATGATTTATATATATAGCATACCACTACTATTACGCGCGGTGTCATCCGCTTTTTTGAGATAATATATGTATATATATGTAAGTCCTCGTGACACAATGTATCTAAACAGCTTTCTGCAATAAGGCCATCTTGTTGTATTTAGTTATATAAATAAATAACTTTGGACAATTCACACAGCGCCATCTAGTCCCACGGTAAGCAAAGCTTGTGTTATGTGTACTAGGAAATTTATATAAATAGACATATACTCGAACCCGCGACCATAGGAAGTAAAGCGGTGTGCTAAACCGCTACACCACCGAGGCCGTCAATATATATATATAGTTTACTCATTAATTGTACCTATTCTCTCATTGTATAATGCAAATAAAGCATATTCTATTCTATACTCACGTCATATTTTATTACGACCCGTTCAGCGGTTCATGCATAGTAATAAACAAACAAACAGCGTGTCTATATGTCTGTCACTTTATTATGTATTTACAACTGAACTGCTGAACGGACCTATGTAAATGAAATTTGTCAGGATGATCTTCATTACATAGTATAAAACAAAGTCGCTGTCGCTGTCTGTCCATTCCTATGTATGCTTAAATCTTTAAAACTACTCAACGGATTTTGAAGCGGATTGTTTTAGTAGATAGAGTGATTCAAGAATAAGGTTTATATATATAATACATGTACACCCGTGTGAGGCCGGGGCGAGTAGCTAGTTATATATAAGAAGATATTCATATCAGTTGTCTAGTAACCATAACACAAGCTTTGCTTACTGTGGGACTAGATGGCGGTGTGTTCATTGGCTAGGGACATATAAATATATACTAGCTGACTCCGCGAACTCCTTTCCCTCCCAAAATTAAATATGCCAAAGGTTTTTTGAAGTTTAGTTACGCAATAAATTTCTGAACGCTTGGCAGCTATCAGCAGTTTGTATGGGAAAATAATATTGTTGTTTTTACTATTTTACATGCAATTTCATCATATTTTATCACCATTTAAACCTTCCCTGAACTTTAACGAATATTTTAAGACTAAAATTAGCCAAATCGGTTCAGTCGTTCTCCAGTTTTAGCGAGACTAACGAAGAGTAATTCATTTTTATCAGTGATATTAGGAATCTCCGTAACCGTAATCAAAACTATCGGATATCCGATATAAAAAAATATCCATAACCGTAACCGAATCCGAAATATATGTTTCGGACAATATCAGATAGGGGCGGAGCCTAATTGGAACACGTTATGTAACCATTTGTATATTACTTTTGAAATTCCTTAAAAAATTAATATCCGTAACCGAAATTATCCGAAACTAACGGATAATCCGATACAATTGCATATCCGTATCCGTATCCGGTATAATAATCATTCCTATATCCGAAACCTATCCGTATCCGAAATTTCATATCCATAGCATCCCTGATTTTTATATATATAGATATATATCTTGCGCGTACAGAAGCGACTTGTTACATTTTTATTACATGTATACATTGTTTATTTGTACAGATGCGTATATTATCTTTAAACATAATAACCACATGTTAATCATCAACAGACGACGGTTAGATCCATATGTATCAAGATATACGAATAGTTTAATAAATGTAGTTAAATAATGCTCCCCACAACTTGTTTTTTAATGGATGGTAAAGGAATGATGCACCCGCCTGAGTTAACCGTATACGCTATCGGGGTATATAGTAAGGGAGTTTAGTGTTCCCATTACTAGCAATAGCAATGTACCATGTTAGGTCAACCCTCGACGCGGTTCCCACTGGCCCCATCGTGATTAATTTCTAGTTATTTAATCACAATGGGGTAACTGACCTGACCTGATCTCAGGCTACTCTTATCATCTTCCACTGATGCCCCAGCGTATACCGTTAGCGCAGGCGGGTGCACCATTCCATAATCATCTATAAAAAATATGCATAGTAAACACCCAGACCACAGTTAGCAATAAAGATCTATTCTATTCTATTCTATTCTACACACTTACAGATAAACATACACTTTAAAAGGATCAATAAATTGAGGTTAAATAAAGAAATTAAAATAAATAAATATTGCGTTTTGATTGGTAGTAATAAGGTTTAGTGTCCCCACTGCTAGCAATGTACCATGTTAGGTCGACCTTCACGCGGTTCCCCTTAGAAACCATCGTGATTCCTGAATGGAGGTGAAACGTGAATTCCTGGTTATATGTATAATCACGATGGATTAACTGACCTAACCTCATGCTCATCTTATCATCCTCCACTGATGCCCCAGCAAATAGAAATATTGATGCCCCGTTAGCGCAGGCGGGTGCACCATTCCATTATCATCCATAAAAAAACCTTAAACCATATGTTTTGTTGCCCGATGACATCAAAACACAACGGTAAATCGTGCCTTGCATAAAGTGGACCGGCAGAGGTGATAAATTCTATTAATATACAACGCGCATACATGTACTGTTATGCGTAACACCAAATCAGAATTATTGACTGCCTTGGTACCAATAAGCACAGGTAATATTATTATTTATATTTTTAGTTACTTTCCAGACATTGTAATGTAGGTACTTGGGTATTCTTTGTTTACTATATTCATAATTATGTTTTCTTCACTGTCTATGTTATAATTGTTTTGTTATATTTCATGTTACTGTATCGTCTGTTTATAGTAAAATATAAAATGTCAAAAAAAATTCTAACCTTAACATCTAGGCTCATTATGTCAACACTACTTATTAATATAATACTACTAAATACTTTTCGGTACTCGTTGTCTATCAACTATCTATATATATATATTTGTAATTATAATTGTAATGACTGTTTGTACCAAAACAAATTTAAAAAAAAAAATTATTAACTAGCGGACCCGCGCAACTTCGCCTGCGTTTCATTTTTCCACCTTTTGCAATAGTTTCATTGCAGCTCCGCTCGTACTGGTCGTAGCGCAGTGTTATATAGCTTAAAGCATCATCATGCATCATAACTGCCCCACAACGCATTCTGTATACCTTAAGGTTAGTTGGTGGAGAATGCCATACGGCATTAAGCTCGCTTTGTACAAGTTATATTGTGCATTAAAGAATAAATTATACATAGAAAACATCCAGACCGATACAAACAATTATACTCATGAATTTGATGATTGTGCCGTACGAGGAATCGAACCTGCGACCATCGGAAGTAAGAAACCACTTATCATCAGGCGGACCGTTCGCTTGCTTCCCATTCAACATACATATAAACAAGTTGTACCAACATATGGTAACCAACTTACGACGCAAACCGTCAACTCTTTGTTTTATTGAGGCGTCAGACAGCGGAAATGATCAAGTGGTGACGCATCTTATAGGGGTCGCGTGATATTGGGAATGCCAATGTTTTTATAAAGAAAGAGTGAAAAAAAGAAAGAATAAAAGAAAATATGTTTGCCACTATATCATAATAATCATAGTATATTACAACATTTACTTAAAATAGCAACACTAAAGTTTCTTGCTCAAACTTATGATGAGTCTAAGTTCCGAATAAGTGGTAGAATTAATAATATAACTATTCAAAAGTGCTACTATTAAATTACATATAAGAATAAAATAATAAAAATTATTTCTATTCTATTCTGTTCTTATTATAATGAAAACCAATAGCTTATAATAATAATAATAATTAATTTTTGTACAATAACACTAATTAATGAGTATATAAATACAAACCAATGAACTTGTATCCATTAAACAAATCTCAATTGAACCGTACGAAGTCCGTGTAAAAGCTAGTATATAATAATAATAAACCTGGACAATTCACACAGCGCCATCTAGTTCCAAGCTAAATAAAGCTTGAAGAACATAGATACTGTTAAATACAGCTCTTTTAATATTTTCTTAATATTCATCGTCATCATCATCGCAGCCCGGAAGACGTCCACTGCTGAACATAGGCCTCCCACAAAGATCTCCACGACGATCAGTCCTCCGCTGCTGGCATCCATAGCATTTCTCAATATTATAATTTGTTAATTTTAATAATGTAAATATAACTCTTTAATGTCGTTCCATTGCCTTTACGTTAACACTAGATAACTGATATAAATAGTTTGACGTATTTTTATAAACACTATATAATATACATAGAAAACACCCAGACCAATAAAAACAGTCAGTCATGAATACAAATGTTTGCACCGTGCGAGGATGCAAACC